CCCCAAAACCCCAAAACCCCAAAACCCCAAAACCCCATTAATATAATTTTCTAACTAAATCTTAAAATTTGTAAATATGCATAAATGATTTTGATGTTAATTTATACTATCCATATTTAATTCTATTCACTTCCTGTATTGTCTCTTATTGTCGTGCGAATCTTCTTCATCGTCATATTCATCGTCCACTGGCTTTTTAGTACTCTTTACTCCTGGTTTCTTCTTAACTGAAACTAACTCCTCCTCTTAATCATTATCTGGGTTCATGGCAGCATATTTCTCTATATAGAGTTCACTTTATTTAAAATACTTACAAGATTATTGATTATATTGAATGGCCATTGAGTCAAATTTGAAAGTCAGGGTAATCAAGATGATCATTCCAAAGGCTGAAAGTAGCTCTGTGATTGCATCTCCAAATAGAATATAGATCCAGGATATTTGCTGTCCAGTAGTGGCTTGCTCTTTATTGGAAGAGTCAGACATCGAGTTCATTACGATTCTTAAGCCTAAGTGTAAAACCAATATGAATTTCATAAGGAATATGTGGCATTAAGCTGCTTCTGCAACTGGAGGCATTTTGATTTTCAATACAGCATAGAGTTTACGCACTAACTGCACTTAGATAATTAAAAATACAGCATAGAACACAGATAGTACTCCATCCATAGCCGACCTACAAGAATAATTTAGATTACATCCTTCACTTATATTTCATTGTAATATAATATAGAGATACTTGAATCACTTACAAAGCCTCGAAGGAAACACTCACTCTCCATACTAAAAGCCACAAGGCAATATAGACTAAGAATATACCCCAGAAAACGAAATGCATTTTAATTTGATAGTTTCTCTTTGAATTTTATGTGCCATCTGTCCCATGTCGATGTAGCAATATCACCCTAATTTAATGTTAATTTTGATTAAGTAATACTTACAAATGCAAGGTATATGAAGTCATTGAGATCAATGATACTACAATTGGAGCAGTTCTAAAAGCAACATAGGTGTTCACACTCTCGTTTTTAGATCTTCCAAAGAATGAGTAGTAAAGTCCTCTCACTATAGAAAATAAATAAGAACTCATCTTAATAGAATATATTTATGTAATTGTGTGATATAAGGTATGAGAGCAAATGATATCTTACTGATAATAACCATCAATTAGAATACGAATACATTGATATAAAGTCCATGTCTCTTAATCCAGGGATTTTTATTCACGATGTATCCAAATATGACTATATAGGCAGCAAAAACCACGAAAAACATGGCAGCTATGATTGTGCAAATCTTATAAGAGGAATCAGTGCAACAGTCCACATAGATATTGCTAGTCCCTGGGAATACGCACTGAGTGTAGTTCACTACCTCCTCTTCTTCGTATTTTACTATTTTAAGTTCCAATGCTCTAGCTGATGAAAACCCTTGGTTCAAGCCAGAACTCTTACCGTAATAGTCCTAGACTTATTGATTGACTAACGTTGAGAGAAGTTCCATTTTAATAAGAATTTAAATTATTTTATCGCAAGTGTTACGTTTAAAATCGATATTTTTTGTATTTATTTTAACTCTAACTCTAACATTAATAATATTTTGACTTGGGGTTTTGGGGTTTTGGGGTTTTGGGG